AGATCAGGCCGAGCAGCCCGAAAGCTAATCACCATTCTGGTAACTCTGCACGCGCAGTGCAGAGAGCGGGGACCCAAGGCTGCTCATGCACTGCTGCATCTCAATAAGCAGCCTGTTTGAGCCTGAACACACCCGCCAGGCGTTTCCCTAGCTATGGCAGCACAAGCAGTGCGGAGGGTGGGGATCTAAGGCCGTATGCGCGCGCACACACACACACGCACTCCTGTGCTAATTCCAGCAGACCAATGAGGTCGCAGACCTGATCCTCTATGGGAGGGCCCAGCCTAATCAGAGCTTTTTTTGACATGCCCCATTTATATCTTTTTTGCACAAGATTCCATTATTTCCTTAATCCATTTACAAATAAAAAGTATTTTCTACTGAAGAATATGGTGGCAAACATCAATAAATAATAAAGAAAAAAATCTTACTGTAATAGATATGTATGATATTGGGGGGCAAGTGAGGCGGCGGATTGGGGGGAGGGGGGTTGTCACCTCGAAGGGCAAAAAGTATAACTAGTGCACTGTGTTGTACAGCTGAAACTAATTCTAAGAAATGTGTATTTCACAATAAAAAATAAAAACAAAATAAAGAAAAAATCTTAAGATACGGGAGGAGAAAGCTCTTCAAGGAAATTGGAAAGTGCTTCAGTTGCAATCTTAAATGAGATCCACAGCAAGCATACATTGCATAAAAAATGTCTATTATGAAAGGATGAATATGAAATGTCTATATAGAAATGTGTCACTCCATGTGAGGCATTATTTTGAATAGAGTGAAGAGCACTAAGTAGGCCCAATTTGGAGGCTTAGAAAAGTTGTCTGTCCCACAAAATAAAAGTATCAATGCTAAGACAGAAAATGAAATCAGAATCTTTGTTAAGTGGGATGGCTAAAAATTCTGTCTTCTAGGCTTTGAACTTCAAGTATTTTCTTCTCTCTTGAACTTGGATGTCTCCAATTTATCCCTTGAGGCAGAAAACTTGATGTCAAGGGAAAATATATAAAATGCTGAGTGAAGAAAAGCAGAAATGAATAGGTTAGTTAAGTGGAAATTTAATTTCTGAAAGACAAAGATTCCTGAGGAGGGTAGATGGTTAAAGATTTCATTTTGATTTCAGATGAAAAACAAAAGCAAAAGTATAGCAGTGTGAGCTAGTTTCCTCAAACTCGACAAAATGCTAGACAGCCATGTTTCTTGGCTCTTTTGTCTCTTTGTGCCTTTTTTTTTCCAGACTGAAAGGTTGGGAGAAGAAAGTTGAGGACAGGGCCTGCTGTCATATCTGGAGCACTACTGCTATCATGAGTAAATAGTTTTCTAACATCCTAAGTTGTTACAGCTTCATCCTTTGCGAGGTCAAACAATTAAGAAAGGTCAAACCCATGAGGGGGTAGAACAGGTTTGAGTTCCAAGCTGGACCATCTTTGGCCATTCCCCTAAGGCCTTACAAGAGACTTGGACATGGGCAGTATCTGGATGTAGAGCCTGGAGAGTGAGGGGCCCAGAGTGAGCCAGCAGCTCTCAGGAGGTCCAGGCACAGGAAGTCATGAAGCGGAACTTAGGTTTCCTCCCAGTATGGAGAGGAATAGAGGAATCCACCCAAAGATAAATGTAGGCTTTTGTGGGATTTGTCTCCTGTTCCTGACCCTTGCAGCAAGAGTTAGCAGGCTTTCATGTGGCGAGCCAGTACCATGGGGCTTCGGTCCCTTGTGGCTCAAGTATCAGAGCAAGATGGACAAGCTTGTTCTAAGGGAAGTTTACTAGCATCTTGACTTTTTTAATTTTGATGAAGTTCATTTATCTTTTATTTTGTTGTCTGTGTTTCTGGTGGCATATCTAAAAAAAAAAAGATGAAATCCAAGGTCATGAAGATGTGCTCCTATATTTTTCTTTAAAGTTTTATAGTTTAACCTTTTACCTTTATACCTTTGACCTATGTCATGTTTTGCACTTGGTATGAAGTAAGGGTCTAAAGTCATTCTCTTGTATATGAATATCCAGTTGTCTCAGCACCATTTGTTAGAGACTATTCTTTACTCATTTAATGACCTTGACAACTTTGTCAAGAATCAATTGACTATAGTATAAGGGTTTATTCTGCACTCTCAATCAATATATTGATCCATATGTCAATTTTTATTTGAGTACCATACTACTTTGATTACCGTAGCTTTGCAGTAAGTTTTGAGATATGGAAGTGAGTCCTCTAGCTTGGTTTTTCCTATTCAAGATTGTTTTGGCTACAGAGGTCTCTTGCAATTCCATACAAATTTTTGTATTACTCTTTCCATTTCTGTAAAAACAGTTGTTGGGATAGTGACAGAGAGTGCACTGAATGTGTAGATCTCTTTGGGGAGTATTGTCATCTTAACAATATTTAGTCTTCCAAACCATGAACAAAGGATATCCTTTTATTTATTTAGGTCATCTTTAGTTCCTTCAGTAATTTTCAATGAACTAGTCTTTAATTTCTTTAGTTAAATATTGTCCTAGGTATATTATTCATTTTGATACTATTGTAAATGGAATTGTCTTCTTTATTTTTAGATTGTTCATTGTTAGTATGTACAAAGAAAACTGATTTCTGTGAGTTACTTTTCTATCCTGTGTTAATTGCTGAATTTTTTAATTAGCACAAATTTTATCTTTGTGGATTTCTTATAATTTTCTTTATATATATATTCATGTTATTTGTGAACAAACATAATTTTACTTCTTTCTTTCTAATTTGAATGCCATTTATAGATTTTTATTGACTGATTACCTTGGCTAAAATTTCCAATACAGTGTTCAATTGAATTGGAAAAAGTGGACATTCTTATCTGGTTCCTGATCTTAGGGGCAAAGTATTTAGTCACCATTGACCATATTATCAGCTGTGGGTTTTACACAAATTTCCCTTATCATGTTGAGGAAATTCATGTCTATTTCTAGTCTGTCAAGTGTTTTTAGTTTCTTTTGTGGAGGAATACAGAGTTAAAGTTTCCTACTCCACCATTTTCATTGATGTCATATTTGCCACCTGTTTTGGCATTTCTAGAAACAATGATGTTTCTTTAAAATATAACTGTTCTGGGCCGGCCGAGTGGCTCAGTTGGTTAAGAGCTCGCTCAAGAGTTTGAGCTCTGAGCAACAGCTGTTCGAGTCCAGCCCGAGCTGAGCAGCCGCTGAGCTGCCAACAGGTAGCAGGATGGCTCAGCTAAAAAAAAATAAAAATAAAAATAAAAAAATAAAATAAAATATAACTGTTCTAACAGCCATGTATAAAGAAGTAAAGCAAGATCACAGGTAATACCACCTCCAAAAGACAAGGACTTTTAAAATGTAGGTTAATCTTTACTCCTTTTCACGGTTTTTGGTATCCATCTGTTTATGTACATCTGCTCCACTCAAAGATCTAACCTTTCTTTGCTTGGCTGGGTGATTCTACTTATTTTCAGGTCCTTATTCCAAGCAGTGGGCCTCCAGACAATTGGGGCCTTCAGCAAGTACAGTTCCTCGTGCTATATGTCACCTGGTAGGCCTTACAAGAAAGAAGCTGTAACAACTTACAGTGTTTTGAAACTATTTCCTCACAATGGCAGTAGCGCTCAAGAAATACCCATAAATCCTGCTCACTTCTTTCACCTATCCAGTCTGAAAATTCACCACCAAGAGACAAAGGTGCCAGAAAATAGGCTGTCTTTCATTTTGCCCAGTTTAGGGAAACCTGCTCACACAGCTGTGCTTTTGATTTCAGTTTCCATCTGAAATAAATCTGAAGTCTAAAACTATTTAACCACACCAACCATCTTGTTTTTCAGAAATTAAGTTTCCACCCAAACTAGCCTATGTGTGTCAGCTTTTCTTCATTCAACATTACTTGTCTAGCATTTTCACATGGCATCAAATTATCTACTTCAGGTGATACGTTAGATGTATCTAGGCAGAAAAGGGAAAAGAAATTTCCTGAAGCCTGTAGAAGGCCAATTCACAAATTCAAGTGGTCCTTGACCCGGCCCTTTACCTAGGCAACCATGTAGTCTTCCATTTTCTTGCCTCATGTGTTAAATAATTGTCAAGTGCCTGGCAAGAGTTATCAGAGAAGGCCTAGATAGCTCACATCACTATATACTATACACTGCTCCACATGGCATGTCTCTAAACTCTAATCAGAAGTTATGCAGGGTTTTGTCTCATAGTTTCATTATTTAACATTAGAACATAGCATTTTTGCATGTCATTAAATATTTTTCAACTTCTTAATATGACAGCTTCTTGAAAATCTCTTAAAATTCACAAATCTTTGAAGGATAAATAAAAACACTTGATCACAAATCCTACTTTCCTGAAGCAACCACCATTAGCAACTTGATAGATACATACATTCAAATATTATATATGATTGATCATGAAAGCTAATACTATTTAAATAGATAAAGCCTCATGAAGGTGCTCCCCTATTTGCTCAAAGGAGTGTTCAAAATACACAAACAGACACATAGATGGACAATCACATCAAATCTTCAACTCCATTCTGGTCACACTGTAGGTAAAATTTACTGCCAGAGATATTTCACTCAATATTAGGTAATGGGAAACTTCCAAAGGCATTAAGTACTCATGAGGTAACTGATAATACCTTAATGCAGATAAGTTTTATAAAATTTCTTTACCATTGTTCAAATCCTAACAATATTATAAGCATCTGGCAAATAAATGCAAAATTGAACAATTATGAAGTAAATGAGGGACATGCTCTATCACAGAAGCTCAATAGTAACTCAAAATTTTGATTTATTGCATTCTGAATATATATATATAAACTTGAAAGTACACCTCAAAAACATTGTTTTAGAAAGAAAGGCACTGTTAGTTTTTTTGTTGAAACTTTGAAACATACATCTCAACGTGAATATTGATTCTATAGAATACATAAATATTTTAATGTTTGGTTCAAATTATCACACATGTTAAAAACAGATTTAAAACACACTTTGTTTTGCCATTTCCTTTACCTATTGTTAGAAAATTTATGCTTTGATCCTTAAGGTCCGGCAGTTTCTTTTCTCACAAAATCACAAGCAGGGAATATCTCTGCCTATCAAGACAAAAAGATTGAAATTCAGGCACTGTGAGGGCTGAAAGGAATATCTAGTGTAGCTCAAATGAATGGATCCATAAACAAACAAATGATGGACCCACTGACCCCCCACACTATCCACTCTTGCAAAGCATACATCAATGAGACTCCTTGGCTTTACCAAGGAAGGTCTTGGGCTTCCAACCGTTGCCAAACACATAGCCTCTATTAAAGACAGGCAGCAAGAAGGGCCGGCCGAGTGGCTCAGTTGGTTAAGAGCTCGCTCAAGAGTGTGAGCTCTGAGCAACAGCGGTTCGAGTCCAGCCCAAGCTGAGCAGCCGCTGAGCTGCCAACAGGTAGCAGGATGGCTCAGCTAAAAAAACAAAACAAACAAACAAAAAAAGACAGGCAGCAAGAGATCAACACAACAGTCTTAAGCCTGCAAAATTCCAGGGATACGACCAACCAAATTTCTAGCTTCGGGTAAGGGATACTGTCTTCATACATGTGGATATACTCTTCCAAGTCAATGGTCAGGTCAAACTACTCCTCCATAGGAGGAAATCCAGCTTAAACTTTCTCCCCAAATCTACTAGAGATGAATCTAGAAAAGGTAAGTTAGAGGTCATTTCTCTCTTTTACAGGACCTACATCCATTAAGACATGTTTCCTACAGGATCTCCAAGGCACTACTGCATACAAATGGCACCAATGTCCACACACCATTAGTGAACTCAACTATGACCGGCCTGAGGGAGAGCTAGGCACAGGTGAGGATGTAAAAATACCCAGCAATCTTCCCCTGGTATTGATGGAAGCTCACCTTTCAAAGTGGAATTCCTGCCTGAGTCATCAGAATCCAGGAGGGGTCTACCTAAAGATCTTGAACCACTGGAAGGTCACAGCAGAGCACCAATCCAACATTACTTCCTTTATTTAAGAATTCACATAGTGACATGAAAGAGTAATAAGAATGCCATGAAGAGAGAGGCACCCATATTTTAGCCAGTCTTCTTGATTCTACGATTATGAGTCATGAGGTATCTAGAGATCTCCATACCAAAAGGGTGGATGTCCTGTAATGTCATTGAGGAATCTTCCTCGGGAACTACCTATGAAGCTGGCATAGAGAATAACACTAACAAGCATAAGGTAAATAAGGGTTTCCTTGGGCCTAAATAATATCATCCTTCTCAGGGGAATACCAACCAAGAACACCCTTTCTGTCCTCCCTATAAGAGCTCAGATGACATCAGGATCCTGTCAGGACAAAAAAAAAATTAACCATGAGCTTTAGAGTGAGCCCGCAAAGCCACAGGAGTGGCTAGCTATTGGGCTCAGGCAATTTATTAAGGCCTTTCATTATATTCATGGTTTTCATCCAATGGAGCAATTCCAGTCTCCTAGAAGGTGTCCTGGTCCACGTTGGCATGCCAGTCTATCCCCTTTCCTTCTATGCAGGCCCTTTGTGCTCCAGACAATGGTAATCTACATTTTTGGTGTGCCTCAACTCCATCAATGACATTGGCTATATATGGTACTTGGCATTGGCCTGTCCACTGTGCTCTGTCACTTCTGCCATAATGGGCCCAGTCCCAACACAGTGATAGCCAGCCTGCCTAAAGCCCTAAAGGGCATATTCGCAAGACAACTGTCCCCAGGGTTTGCACTTGGCTCTAAGTCTAGCCCACACTGTTAAGAAACTGAGGGTCCACCTCCCTATTAACTGTGGCTGGACTTCCTGGAAGCAGCTGGCTGGGTCCTAGCCTCCTGACTAGCAGATACTACGCCAAGACCCAGACTTTGTCCACTGTTCCTGCCAAGCCACAGTGAAAACGTTAGGGAGTCCAGGCTGTGTCCAAAACCTGTTTAGCCTCCCAAAGGCCCGCTCTCCCTCAACTGCTTGACCTTACATAGGGTAACTACTCACAGCTTGGGATTTATGAAACTATTTCTGCATGATGGCAGCATTGTCCCAGAAAAGCCAACTAGCTCTACTTCCAAGCATTCTTCTCCCGGCTTTTGAGTTTGAAAAAATTCCATGAAGAGACAAAGACATCAGAAAAATATGGCTGTTTTGTATTTTGCTCAGTTTAAGGAAACTTGCTTTTGGTTTCCATGCAATATCAAACTGAAATCTGAGCCATCCTCTCCATCAGACATCTTTTCTTTTCCAGATTTCAATTTCTACTTGACCAACTATTATAATACATAATATAGCATGTCATTATAATTTATATCTACAGAGTGCCAAAAAAAATACACATTTTAAGAAAGAAAAAAACTGTATTAAAATTATCCTGATAATAACCACTTTGAGCACCTCTTGCAATTGCAGAAGTCAAACGTCACTAGTATTCATTCATTTTTTGTCATCAGTATATATTGTGTATTGCAATTTTAATAAAAATTTTTGTGGGTTTTGCCAATTTGATTATAATGTGACTCACTCTGGATTCCTTGTGTTTATCTTAAATAGAGTTTGTTGAGCTTCTTGAATGTTTACACTCGTGTCTTTTATCAAATTAAAAGTTTGGGCCATTATTTCCTCAACTATCCTTTCTGTCCCTTTGTCTCTTCCTTCTGTAACTCCCATTATGTGTGAGATAATATATTAGATGATGTCCCCCAGGTCTGTCTTCATTTTTCTTAATTTGTTTTTCTTTCTGCTCTTTAGACTGGATAATTTCAATTGGACTAGTTTCAAGTTCACAGATTCATTTTCCTGACTATTTGAATCTGCAGTTGGACTAGTCTGGGGAATTTTTCATTTCAGTTATTATACTTTTGAGTTCCAAAATCTCTATTTTTACTTTTTTAAAACTTCTACCTCCCTATTGATATTCTCTATTTGGTGAGACATTGTTCTTCTGGTTTCTTTTAACTCTTTGTATTAATTTCCTTTTTCCCTTTGAGCACATTTAAAAGAGTTGATTTGGATTTTCTTTTTTTTTTTTTTTAAAGATTTTTATTGGGGAATTGGGGGGATGGGAACAGTGCTGGGGAATTGGGGGAAGGGGAACAGACAAGTTGCTGTCGTTTTGTTCTTCAGTCTAGTTGTGGAGGACGTTGCTTCACTGGCCCAAGTTGGCACCATCATTGCGCTCTTCCCGGGCAAGGCAGATCAGTCGCCGGCTTCTGGACGGCCGCTCACTGCAGCTGCTGGCCGCTCACGCTGGCTGCTGGCTGCTCACGCTGGCTGCTGGCTACATACGGTAGCCCATGGCAACCCACTGCCACAGGGACTGCAGCCTACGCCGTCGCCAGCGACTCAAGGCAACCCAGCTTCAGGTTGAGCTGTTGTTCAGCATCTTAGCTGTAGAGGGCAGTGTCACTGGCCCTCATATGTGGGATCCGAACCGGGGCCCTCTGGCGTCCCAAGCCAGTTTTTAACCATCGCGCCACTCGGCCGGCCCGATTTGAAGTTTTTTCTAATAAATCCAATGCCTAGGCTTCATTCTGTAGTTTCTGTTAATTCCTTTTTATCCTGTGAATAGGTCATATTCTTGTTTCTTTGCATGTCTCATTTTCCTATTGTTGAAAACTGGACATTTTAAATATTACAATGTATAAATGCTGGAAATCAGTTTCTATCCTGCTCTCCCCATAGGTTTAGTTGGTGGTAGTTGTTGTGCATTGGTTTTTTTGTTTGTTTGCTTGTTTTGTTTTTTGCTCATTTAGTGACTTTTTTCAATTATTTTTATAAAGACTATACACTTTGCCATGTGTGGCCTCTTATGTCTGTGTTTTCAGTAATCACTTAGTGTTCAGCACAGACTTTCTGTAAATATCTAGAGCCTAAGAAAAATACTCTCAGTCTTTACAGATTGATTTTGTGTTGGGGAACTTTTTGGGTGATTACCCAGGGTGTTCACAACTTTAACTTACCCTTCACTTCCAGCTTGCAAGGAGCCTAAAGACTTGTGAGACATGAGAGTTTAGGTCTCTTCAGGCCTTTTCTAAGCAGCTGGCCAGTCCTGAGTATGTCTGAATTTTTCTTGTTTCTCCAGTCCATGGAGGAACTTTTTAAATTCCTTATTCCCCCCACATACCTCCTTTCACAATCTCCTCAAACCTATGCTTTTTATATCTGTGTATTGCTTGTCCTGACTATTGTCCCTTGCCCAAGACTTCTCTGGCCAATACTTGTGTCTTTAAAGTCTTTGAGTAAATGCCTTTCTGGAAGACGCCCCAGCCCTAGAAACACTTCCAAGTAAGTCAAAATAAAGGCAAGCTCGTGTATCCGTTGTTTAGGGGACCTCCAGACAAGTCAAAATGAACCACCACAGTTATTTGAGAATAAGGTCCGTATTGCTCCCTGACATTATAAGGCAATGTGGTGATTGGGGGACGGTTGGTGGGCAATTTAAAATGCCAGAGCCCTTTGTCATTGCAAAGTTGTGACTTTTTCCTTCACCAAGCCTCCCTTGGTTTTTGTAAGTTTTCAACTAGATCTAAAGTTCTATAAAAATGGATTCTAACGCTTTTTATCACATCATTAGTTGCTTTCATGAAGGGATGGGGCGCTGGAGTTCTCTACTTTATCATCTTCATTGATGTCACTTTTGCTACCCATTTTTGCATTTCTAGATATAATCGTCCTTTACAATGTACCCACTACAACAGCCAAGTATGAAGAAATTAAGCAACGTCATGGGTAATGCTACCTTTGGCAGGGAAAGATTTTTTTTTTATTAAATTATTTTTTGTTATGAAATACACATTTTTTAGAATTAGTTTCAGCTGTACAACACAGTGCAATAGTTATACTTTTTACCCCTCGAAGTGACAACCCCCGTCCCCCAATCCGCCGGGCAGGGAAAGATTTTTCAATGTGTGTTCATTTTCAAAACTTTTCAGTGTTTTTGTTCCCCATCTGTTTGTTTGTTTTTTCACATCTGTTCCCTTAGAGATTTTAACACTTCATGGTTTGGCTGGGTAATTCCACTTTTCTTCAGACCCTATGAACAACAAGCAATGACGTTTACATATGTGAGTATACCTGAGAACTCCAGAAAGCACACCTGCTCCTGTTATATGCTACCTGGTGTGGCCTGTCCTTAGAGTTCTGACACTGCTGGCACAAGAGATCCATGCCTCCATAAAACAAGGATAGTGCTTAGAAGCCTGTTACCTCTTGCTCAAAGGAGCAGGAACAGTAGACAAAGTCGCAAAAGAGACTGCATTTGTCTTTCAATGGATTTCTCTAATCCTGTCCGGTGGGTGGAGAACTAGGCCTCACCCATGACTTCCTGTGCCAGGACCTCCTGGCAGCTGCTGGCTCAGTTCTAGTTCCTCACTCTTCAAGTTGTACACCGAGATCATGCCAATGTTCAAGTCTCTTTCAAGACCTTAGAGAAGGCCAGGCGGCTCTGCTTGGCTCCAAGACTGTTTTAACTTCTCATAGGCCTGAACTTCCTCAACTTTTGGCCTCACCGGAAGAAAGCTGTAACAACTTAGGGTGTTTTGAAACTATTTCCTCAAGATGGCAGTAGTGCTCCAGATATACAAACAAGTCCTGTCCTTGCACTCCCAACTCCCGCCCAACCAGTTTTAAAAAAATAACAAGAGACAAAGATACCAGGAAACTCTGCTACCTTGTACTTTGCCCGGTTTTCAAAACTTTGCTCACACTGTTGTCCTTTTGCTTTTGGTTTCCATCCGAAGTCAAAACTGAGGCCTAAATTATCCATCCTCATATCAGGCATCTTCTTTCTCCTTGACCTAGAGCTGCTCTTCTTTACTCAGCTTTGTATCTCATGCATTTTCCCAAATTATCAAGTAGTCCGCTTTTGAGGGAAAGTCTCAAGGAAAAAAGCCTAAAAGGAAGAAGAAAATTCTGGAACATTAGGGCAAGATTAGGGCATTTCTAGGCAACAACAATTGCTAACAACTATTAAGCAGTTACAAGGTACCAGTGAAATTTCCAAGGATCTTGATAAGGATTTATATTCCCTGCTTAATTACCAAATTCATTATTAAAAACAAATCATTTTTATATTCTTATAAAGCATTAATGCTTATGCCAAAATTAAAATATGTATAGACATGAGGCATAAAAGTACAAAGATGCAAAAAGTCATTTGATAAAGTTGCGTTTTAACATATAAGTTCAAAATCTATGTAAAGCCTGACTCTAATTTCCTTAAATGAAAATAACTAAATATGAATATTTACTTTGAGCATCAGGTTTGAGTCACTGAAACATTTACTAGTGAACTCTCCTGCTAAAAAGACATTTAAAAAGAAAGATGCTGTAGAGGCCTGACCACCGCATTGTATTTCTGAAACTGATGTTGAATAATACTGTATGTCAACTATAATTATATATACATACAACCTCGGGACATGGAGTAGAGTGCGGGAACGGATTCAATGGAATTGTAATAGATAAGCCTGATATCGGGGGTGGGAGGGCAATAGATGGGGGGGGGGGGGTTGTTACTTTGTGAGGATGAAAAGGGTAACTATTGCATTGTTCTGTACACCTGAAACTAACAATAAAAATAAAAAAATTAAAAAAAAAGAAAGATGCCGTTTTGTTTACACTCTAAAATACAGTAACACCCCCCCTTATCCATGGGAGGAGGGGGGAATATGGTCTAAGACTCCAAGTGGATGCCTGAAACTGCGGATAGTACCGAATCTGTTTTTTCCATACATCTGTACCTATGATAAAGTTTAATTGATAAATTAAGCACAGTAAGAGATAACAACAATAACCATCAATAAAATAGAATAATTGTAACAATATACTGTAATAACAGTTTATGTGAAGGTACTTTCTTTCTCTCAAAATTTCTTATTATACTGTATTCACCTTTTCACTTAAAGGAAGCCTTTTACGGCTTCTCTTTGGCATGCCCGAATTGTCAGCATCACTACTCTTGTGCTTTGGGGCCATTAAGTAAAATAAGTGTTACGTGAACACAAGCACTACAATATCATGACAGTCAATCTGATACCTGAGAGGGCTACTAAGTGACTGATGGGCGGGTAGCATATGCAGCATAAATACACTGGACAAAGGGATGATTCTGCCCAGGCAGGGCAGAACGAGATTTCATCACACGACTCAGATGACATGCAATTTCAAGCATACCGTTTATTTCTGGAATTTTCCATTTAATATCTTCGGACCACAGTTGACCAAGGGGAACTGAAACCCTGGAAAATGAAACCAAGGATAAGGGCGGAGGACTACTGTATGTGAGCCACAAAATGGAGGACTCCTTAGGAGCCTGAGAAGTGAGCCATGTCAAAGACCACAAGGTCTAATGGCTACAAATCACCTCCTGCAAGCTTTGAGATTCCAGCAATTTCCTTTCCTCATGCATGGATCCCTGAAAATTGAGACCTGCACCGGAAAACCAGAAAATGCAAAAAAATTGTATAGACAGATATTGGCTGAAGAAGAGATCTGCAAACCTTGGTCTAGTAGAAACAGAATTCTTAAAAAGAAAAGATGTCCGATGAGGGTGGGTGGTTTTAGGGTGCATTTCTATTTCCAATGGAAACCAAAAGCGAAAGTGCAGCACTGTGAGCAGGTTTCCCCGAATTGGGTTTGCTGCAAGGCAGACAGATTTCCTGGTGCCTTTTTCTCTAGGCGGCGTTTTTTTTTCAGACTGGTTGGGCGGGAGAAGACGACCTGGTGCTAGGGCTGGTTGGCTTTTCTGGCGCTATACTGCCATCATGAGGAAGTAGTTTTACAAAACTCAACGCTATTAAGCATGAATTCCCACAAGATCTAGCAGTTCAGAAAGGTCTCGTTAATCCAAAGGCTGAATGGGCCCTGACCAAGTTGGACCTCCTTTACATGAACTTGGAAGCATTCCAGGAGCTCTGGGCAAAGGGAGAAGCTGCTGAATGAGTTGGCAGGGCTTTTCCTCTCACTGTGGGCAGGTCTAGAGGAAGGCACTCAGAGCCCATGCAGAGCTTCTGAGCATTTGTCTCCTGTCCCCGCCTCTTAGTGAATGAGGCAGCTGGGCTGACACAAGATGTCCCTGTACTCTGAAGCCTGGGCCCCCTTGTCAGCAAGGTGAGAGTTAGAGTCAGGGATGGGAACCTCATTCCATGTGACATCTAACAGCAGCCAGTCTGCAATCTGGAGTTCTCAGGGACACCCAAAAGTCTGATGTCCCCATTGCCTGGAGCAAGGATGGCCTGAGGAAAAGCAGTACATGCCACTCTGCCAAGCCAAGCCAGTGTACTTCAGACCATCAGCAGGAGTGCAGATGTACACAAAGATGGAAACCAAGAAGGTACAAGAAGGCCTGGAGGTATTTTCTGAGCCAAGCAGGTAGCAGCTTTGCAGATTTTTCTCCAGGGTGCAGCATGAAGGCCTACCCACTTAGAGGGCCTGCTCTCGATTTCATCTCTCATTGGGGACAGAAATGGGTTCTTCAGTAGTGGGTTCGCCCTCTAAGAAAGATGAGACCCTTGAGGCTTGGGATCTAACCATTCATTTAATTCTGTTATTATCAGAGGATAAAATTTGCACACATTTCAATTCTTTTAAATGTGTTCAGTTTTGTTTTATGGCCTAGAATATGGTCTTCATTAATGAATGTTCCATGTACACTTGAAAAGAATGTGCATATTCACTGTTGTTACATGGAGTATTATACAAATATCAATGAGGTCACGTTAGTTGATAATGTTGCTCAGGGTTTTTATATCTACACTGATTTCCTGTGTACTTGTTGTTCGTTGTATTACTGAACGAGGGGCACAGTTGGAGGTGAAATTTCTACCTATATTTGTGAATTAGCATACTTGTTTTCAGTTCTATCATTTTTTGCTTCATACATTGTGAAGGTTTTTTTTGAAGAGCATAAACAGTTAGGTTTGGTATGTTTTCTTGGTGAATTGGTCCCTTCATTTTTCTTTGATTTTCCTCTTTATCCCTGGTAATTATCTTTGTTCTGAAGTCTGTATTATCTGAGATTAGAAGAGGCACTAAGGCTTTCTTTGTTTCTTTTGTTTTTTTTTAAAGATTTTATTAGGGAATTGGGGGAGGTGAACAGCACGGGGGAATCGGGGAAGGGG